ACATTTAATGTATTAATTTGGTTCTTAATTTCGGTTCTTCAGTTCGGTACAGTTCGGTACGGTTTGGTTCGGTTCGGATATTTGTGAAATCTCCAGAACCGTACCAATTATTTTTTCGATTCGGTTCGGTTCGGAGAAAGTCAAATGGTCAACGGTTATTTTTCGGTTCGGAGTGATTTCGGTTCGATTTTCGGAAAGGTTCAGAATTCTCCGAGTCCCATGCTCAGCCCTAGGGGCTAAGGCCGAACCCCACACCTGCATATATAAAATGACCCTAAATAAGCTAAAAACTCACAAATCTACAGTCCAATGTCCAAAAAACTACAGTCCAAAAAATGCAAACAAAAGGAAACAAGAAAAAAAAGAAAGAAACAACAACAACAAATAACACCAAAAGATTTGATCCTTGTTATAAAGGAGTCCAGGCGAAGAGTCAACATCATGAAGGGACAGAAGCACCAAAAGGTAGGGCCGACTACCCAAATTTGAACGATGGGTATCCAATCTGGTCCATCTGTATAAGGGTATGAAGGCGGAGAAGAATACCGTCAGTATGAAGATTTCGTCTCAGGGAGGGAGCAGGTCCTGAAGCAAGCAAGAAACTCAGTAGGTTGGTCCCCCTCGCGAAAAATGTGTGAGGTTCGATAGCGAATCGACTGAAATCTGACTGTAATTCGCATGAGTGGATGTCGAATCTGCCAAGTGCGCTGATGGCCATAGGTCAAGAGTGTGATGACAGCGGCAGCGTCCAACTTGATCCAAATGTGAGAGGAAATCGAGACAACAACATGAAGACCTATCTGAAGCGCCTGAACCTCTGCATCATAGCTCGAGGAGGCGCGAATAGGGGCATGAAAAGCGGTATTAAGGGTGCCGCTATGATCTCTAATCAGGCCCCCACCTCCAGTGCTCTAGTAAGTCGGCCAAAGGCTCCGTCAGTGTTTAGTTTAACCTAAAGAGGCTCGGGCAGCCAAACTACAGCTCTGGGCGTGGATACCGGACAGACGAAAGCGGAGGTGGTGCAAAGCGGTGGGGTGGCGTGCAACATGTCCAGTCTCTCTGGGCGAGTCTGCCCAAAGCAGTGAAGAGAGAGAAATGTCGGTCAACTTGCAAAATGATATGGGAACATAAAAAAGAAATATCTATATACTTTCGCCTTATTCCTTTCTGTCCATGTGGCCCAAAGGATTAGACATGGAATAAGGAGGCCCACTTGCCTATTGTGTGTGTTGTGTCTGAAAAAACACAAAAGATCAAATAAAATATCCGTGGAGGGTAAGGGTATATGAGTGTAACTGGTATAATGCTCTCACACTCTCCTCACGGTCTCGCTCTAAAAAAAACAAATGTTTGAAGGTCTGTGTGTGAAAATCGTTGGTCTCAGCACAACAGTAGCAACACGAGGGGAAAGAGAACTCTCTCATTTGTACCGCAGTATC